ACAAACACTGCAAAGTAATAGATTTTAAAACAAGGCTTACGAACAGATATTAGCCCCTACTTTAGATAAGCAAAATATACAATATTTACAATATTTATGTAAATTAAAACATTTAAAAATAGCTGTTATTTCTATGACTATAGTATATAATGTGTGATATTCTACATAATAGGAACAAGTTATTCAAAATAACATCTAGAAATAAATTCTTGGAGTATTGTCATAAAAATTAACTTATAGTATTTTTAAAATTATTATTATTATAAAAATTACTTTAGAATTTACATAATCTTCATTGTTATAATTGTGAAAGGTTTTAATATTTTTAAAACGGTGAGTGGGTTGGGTGGATATGAGGGACGAAGTTATTTTATATACTTCAATTTTTATTATTGAATTGAAATTAAAAATATTCTGTGCTGAAGGCTATTAACAATATTAGTTAATTAAGTAAAATCTGTTAAATAGTGGAAACAAAATAAATCTAATATTGTCTATGATTTTATATGAATCATGTGAATCGTTATTATCATGTGATATGTGAAATGTTGTTGTTAATAATCTTAATTTTAGTATTCATTATGGTAATTTATATTATGGTAAAATAATATACTTATTTAATAAAGTTACAGTAATTTATGCTTAAATTATTAATATATAGAATAAATCAATTTATATTCACAATATTTTGTAACAAAAGCCCCAAAAGATATTAAAGGATTACGCAAACATTTAACGCATTGAATTGATATAAATTATGTATTAAACAGTATATGATATAAATAGAAAGCATTGAGAGTTTGGTTCGGAGATTAATATTGTTAATACAAAAAGCTATGAAATTGAATTCAATGTTAAATCTATGGTCGCAGCCCTTAAAAGTGATTTTCTTGATTTGGGCGTCAAATCATTTGTTTAATCTGTAAAAAGGTTTTGTAATATTTTGGAGGAGAAATCAAATACGAGGTCTAACCCTCGCCATACATAAATTATGTATGGCGAGGGTTAGACCTCGTATTTGATTTCTCCTCCAAAATATTACAAAACCTTTTTACAGATTAAACAAATGATTTGACGCCCAAATCAAGAAAATCACTTTTAAGGGCTGCGACCATACATTTAACATTGAATTCAATTTCATAGCTTTTTGTATTACGTTAACAATATTAATCTCCGAACCAAACTCTCAATGCTTTCTATTTATATCATATACTGTTTAATACATAATTTATATCAATTCAATGCGTTAAATGTTTGCGTAATCTTTTAATATCTTTTGGGGCTTTTGTTACAAAATATTGTTAATATAAATTGATTTATTCTATATATTAATAATTTAAGCATAAATTACTGTAACTTTATTAAATAAGTATATTATTTTACCATAAAATTCTGTAAATTACCATAAGGAATACTAAAATTAAGATTATTAACAACATTTCACATATCACATGATAATAACAATTCACATGATTCATATAAAATCATAGACAATATTTTTATTTTGTTTTCACTATTTAACAGATTTTGCTTAATTAACTAATATTGTTAATAGCCTTCAGCACAGAATATTTTTAATTTCAATTCAGTAACAAAAATTGAAGTATATAAAATAACTTCGTCCCTCATATCCACCCAACTCTCTCACTCATCGTTTTAAAAATATTTAGGAGGGAAATATCTTTGGTGGAAATTGCCAACCCTATTGATATTAGTATGAAAATGTGCATAATTGTTGCCAGATGTTTAATAAATTGTCAAAATCGGCGAATGGTCAGAGATGTTGGCGTACTGGTCAAGTTTCAAATCACGCGTCTATTGCTTATAGCATTGAAAAAAGGTGATTCACATAATGAATGGTTGATCACATAAATGTAATGCTATAAGCAATCGATGCTTGATTTGAAAATTGACCAGTACGCCTACGTGTCTGGTCATTCGCCGATTTTGACAATTTGTAAAACATCTGGCAACAATTTTGCACATTTTCATACTAATATCAATAGGGTTGGCAATTTCCACCAAAGATATTTCCCCCCTTAGAATTTTCACAATTACAACAATGAAGATCGTGTAAATTCTAAAGTAATGTTCATAATAATAATAATTTTTAAAATACTATAAGTTATTATTTATGACAATAAAAATTTTGAAAATACTTTTTAAAATTTATTTCCAAGAATTTATTTCTAGATGTTATTTTGAATAACTTGTTCCTATTATGTAGAATATCACACATTATATACTATAGTCGTACAAATAACAGCTATTTTTTAATGTTTTAATTTATATTTCGCTTATCTAAAGTAGGGGCTAATATCTGTTCGTAAACCTTGTTTTAAAATCTATTACTTTGCAGTGTTTGTAGAATAAAATGACGCGAATAACACTACATAACGCCTTCATATACTTTTCGGTAACTAAACTAAACATTAAATACCTGTTGTTTTTAGTGGATTCGTTGTTTCAATGACAGGGTTAACACCAATACAAATAACATTTTCTACACTAATAAAGTATATTATCCATTATTAACTCAAATTCTCTGTAAAAGTGGTGAAATTGAACTGAAATCTGGTCATAAATTTAATTAATAGCATTAAATTATTGTGTTTTATTACAATTTGAATAGATTTGCGTTTAATGTAATCTTAAAATTATTAGTTAACTAATGAAATAGTACATTTAGATGTTAAAAATTTTATTATAAAAATATAAATCTAACAATTACAAATTATTGTTTTAGACTTGTTTCAGAGAACATAAATATTAGGAAATTAAATTTAAAGATAATTACCGTTAAATATTAGTAATTGAAAAATTTTATAACCAATTTATATTAAATACTGTATAAGAATACAATAATTTATATGCAATATGTAAAATATTAAAGCCGAGATTCTTCGGGAATTTTCAAATAAAATTAATTAATAGAATACTTGGGAATAATATTCAGTAAGTATTGGGGGCTATAATAGAGTAAAAATATACAACTTTTATTTTCCCGAATATTCCCGATTTTGGCATATTGTGTAAAATTCCCGAATAGCACTTTTTAAAAAAATAATCTCTAAAACACACTCTCAAGAAAAAAAAATATAATTTTCCTTTTAATTTAAGAGCATTCTTATAGATAGAAAACATTTATAAAGGTATTTAACTGTTTTACTCCCGCTTCCAACAGAATTTGGATGTTTTATTCCAGAATAATCTCTGCTCTAGTAATATATTTCCAAATACTGATATTCATGTTCATCTAGATTCTAGAATAATGTTAAATAAAATTAATGCACTGAACAAACGAAATGTTAATAATTTTGAATTTTGCTGTTTTAATATTACAGTAAAAAAATATTGACAACTTTATAAATGTCTAATTATAAATTCAGAACTATCTAATCTAGAATAAAAACTCTATACTTTAGATATGTTAAGAATTATATTAATTGGTGAATATTTACCAACTTAGAATAATGTTCTTAGATTAATGTTGTAAGATTAGATTAATTAAATCATAGTACGCTGACATGCTATAAATATCTAATCATATTAGAGTAGACCATTGCTATATTTTACATCAATTCAATTGATTTTTAAATTAATTTAATCACATTTTTATTGTTGTTATAATTTAATGATTCAAATGTTTAGTAGAAAATTATTCATAAGAATTCATATGAAAACAATAATTTTTACTTAAAAATATATTTTTACAAATTAAATGGCAATCAATGAGAAAACACGTGTATAATGTAATCAACACTTTAAAACTCTATAAATCACACTATGTTTCCATTAATTCGTTTATTTGCTTCTAGTTTTTGATAAATGTAAACCTCAATAAAGATTAGACCAGATTTGAGTTCAATAATTAGATGTGTGTATTCGTGTTCAACAGAGTTGTATTGTTTTGTTGTTTTAACTCTCTCCCCTAATCTTTATTGAGGTTTACATTTAGCACATCATTGAAGTCCACGGTATAGTTCTCTCATGTTATCGATTAGACCAGATTTGAGAGAGAGAGTTTGTAACAAAGTTACAATAGATAAGACGTGGTGAAATAGTTCTCATTTGATGGAAAAATTGAGAATTGCGTTTACATTGTTTTGGTTAAATATTTCCACTGATTTATGGTTTATTTGACAAAATTTGTTTATTTAAATCAACAAAACAATACAACTCTGTTGAACACGAATACACACATCTAATTATTGAACTCAAATCTGGTCTAATCGATAACATGAGAGAACTATACGATGGACTTCAATGATGTGCTAAATGGCATGACATTAACAAAACCAATAGACACTATGGCCCGTGATTTTGCAAAAGTTTATTCCATTCGTTAAAAGCATTAAATATTCTGTAGTATGAGTTCATTAAGTAGAAGGCATTTGATTTGTCCCTAAATAAACAAAACACAAGTCGAGACATCCATTTAAATAGTATTTGCATTTTATTAACAATACATCTACAATTGCTTTTCATTTAGAAATTTATACAAAGTTATTGTCTTTTCACAAAAATATGAGATCAAAGAGTTATTCAACTCAAATGATTGCATATACAGTAACTTAAGCCATAGATCACTACTGTTAACACCTTATCGATAATTATAGTAAATTCATTCATTTAAAAAACAATACCATTCAATCAAATCTATCCAACCCTTTGGCACTAAACTCTATAATTTAAAAATTATGTTTTCAATAGTCATATACAGTATTTGTCGCAATAATTAATTCCGTTGACAAACAGATCCATCACTTAATGTGTTTATAATATCACCGATTCTTCAAATGTGTACTAAATTAAAGCCAATAAACATTCTTTCTGTTGGTATTATATTTATTCAAGCGTTGCATTAATCCCGTGGAAAGCGTTTCAAATTAATTTTTTAAGCCACAAAATGATATAATTTAAGACATTTTGTTGATTAATAATAATTAAAAAATATGAGAAATATATATTAACTCACATTAAAAATTTATATTAACAATAAGAGGCAATAAATTATGCAAAAAAATAAAATTAATAAATAACTAATTGATTGTCGACTTATTAACGGTGTCTTAATCTTTGGCTGCTTTCACACCATTTGAGTGTTCGGTAATGAATTGGTTGAGTTTGGCGTTGGGGTCTCTGTGGGGGCGTTTCACCCGTGCGAAGGGTCCCACTTCGGGGTCAATGATGTACTTCCAGATCACATACGACCACGAAGTGTGAGAGCACAGCGAGTCGTAATATTCGGGCGCTATTTGACGGACGCGCGGCAGAAGTGTGCCGGGAATGGAGGGGAAGTCGTGGTGCTCGACGTGATAGCCCACGTTGAATGTGATGGCGTTAAGGATGCCATAGTAAGAGCACGTCTCGGGTATCAAGAGTTTACCATTACTGACGTAAACGCCATTCTGTAATTCATTGCCGCTGTATTTCAGGACCAAATCCTTGTTCTCTTTGAACATAATATAGTGTTCGGAAATGAAATGTCCGGCCACTGGGTGTAGACCCATGGCTATGAGCGAACCGCACACCATATACGCCACGACATGCCATCCGCACGTCTGCGCGATTGTGTAGTTAAACGAGAGCTGAACCACAAAATTAAGTAACTCTAGAAGAGTGGGCTGTTTTGGGTGAACAAAGAGCGGCCGCAAAGCGTAGAAGAATGGCTGCAACAGAACCCACAATACTTTGGTCGCAGTGGTGGTGAAGAGTCGCGCCTCAAGACGTGATGGGATGTCGGTGTCGAGCACGTCGTCGCCCTGATATCTGTGATGCTCTAAATGGTATTTCTTGAACGACACCGAAAAGGGGAAACCAATGGGAAGATTGGCGACCATTCCGAACAGCTTATTGGCCAACGGTTTGGACGCACCGAACGCCTGATTGTGCGAAATCTCGTGAATCGCTAACATTAATGAGTGGTTTATAACACCACCGAAACAGTAGCCGAAGAGGAATAGCAGCCAAAACGAAGTGACATTTCGTAACAAATAAAACGACACGATTTGTGTGAAAACCATCAACAGTACTGTCCATTTGAAGTTGGGATCAACTCTCATCAACTCTTTGATTTGCGGGTATTTCGCCAGAATTAACTGCCTTCGGGTTGCGTGCGGTTCATCCGTATATGACTATTAGACCAATCAATTCAATCAATCAATGTTTTCAACACATAAGACAAGACAATTGTTTTACCCATTCGTAGTCACGTCTTGAGACCTGAGCGCCCATTGTGTGGTCAGTCAATCAATTGTTCCCAACTTCTCACTGATTATGTCTTGTTATCTCTTTTGGTTGCGTTTACAACCGTGTTTAATCACCATTAATATTTTACTTACTGAGAAAACTCATTTCTAAACTAAAGCTCTATTTTCACCAAACTTTACTTCACTTAACTTTTGAGTAACCTTTGGCGTTTGAAAGGATAGTCACGTCAACGCTATATCGCTGTCAACGCAATGCAATACAAGTGATGAGAGGTTTGGACCACTCTTTCACTTGCAATACAAAACCAATGAAACACTCATTACTGGTATATAATCGAGTGATTGTCACAATTGATAGCACTTTATTATAGGCGCTTGTATTCACACAATCATTGCATTCAAAGCAACGCTACAAACAGTGAATGAAAGCACACTTTCGTAACTTTTATTGCATTTCTTGACATCAAAAAGCGATCAAACAATTCAAATGAATTTCATTACACATTCATTACTGAATTGCAAATTATTGCCAAATATATTGCATTTTATTGTATTCGTGTCCAATAATTATGTGCATTAAGTCATAGAATGGCATACATTATGCCATTTCTTAACATCTCTTATATCTACACATCATTTATGGTCAAAATGTTTTGTAATCCCAATTGTGTTCAAAGGTGTCACACATTCTCACCCTTTGCTTACAAATACAGTCCAACACTTCATATTATATGAATCATATACAGTAAACTCTATGTAATGAATACCAAAATTTTAATCGCGGTCATTTAATTGATTTGTGCTAACAATGCATTTCAATTGTGTCTATAATAAAGCATAACATAACTGCCGGTCATTACAAACACGTGTTGATGTCATGTCATAACTCTGTGGTTGTGTTGTTTATAACGGGGTTTGACTGTAACTGATTGTTGACATTAAAAAACACACGTTTTGTTGATTTAAATGCTTTGAAAACAAGTGTTAAATGTCTAACAATTAGTGATTTGTTATTTAAATGAATGCATTTATATCTGATTTAAGGCATTAATAATTGAATGGTTTTATTATTGTCTTAATTAAGACTCAATTGTCGGCAATAGAAGTGATGACAAATACGTGACACAAGTGTTGAAGCAATGGATCCGCGGATAAAGTCTGCGGTGAAGGACACGATGAATGAGAAGAAGCGGATGTCCGACACCAGCGATGGCACCACTGATGGCACCAGTGATGGCCCGACTGATGAGAGGCGACGGGAAGTCGCAAAGTGTCCGGAAGTGGATGTGATTCAAGAGAGACAACACTTCTATCATATCGTCAACAGCTTTAAGAGCTATAAATTAAATGGTTTTAAACGTATGTCCAAAATGTATCGCTATTTGGATTCATTGCCTCAAAGACACCAACAATTGTTAGCCAATTATAGACAACATCTCGAAGATGTTTGCAAAGCCATTGATAGCAATCACAAAGTGATTGAACTGATCGTTGAAGACATCTCTAACTTATTTGAAAACATTGATTACACGACTCCTGACCCCCAAAGTGGAGACCAATGGGACTCCAAGTCAACGAAACCTCAGGAGCCGTTAGACACGGATAAAGTGAATTCAGTGTTCAAACAATTGGTGCGCGAGTGGACTGATGTCGGCGCCAATGAGCGCAAGACGTGTTTCGAGCCGATCCTCAACTCGATTGAGGAGCACTTCGGGGAGTGCGGCGACAGGAGTGGTGTCCAAGTGTTGGTTCCGGGCGCCGGTTTGGGGCGACTGCCCTATGAGATCGCCAGACGTGGGTTCTCCTGTCAGGGCAACGAATACAGTCTATTCATGTTATTCACGTCCAATTTCCTGCTCAACAAATGCAAACAACGATTGGTCCACACGTTCTACCCCTGGGCTCAACACTTCACTAATAACATGCGTTCGGCGGATCAGTTGACAGCCGTGCGCTTTCCCGACGCCAATCCCAGCGATTTGCCCGCAAACTGTGACTTTTCAATGGCCGCCGGAAACTTCATCGAGATCTATACGGAACCGTCGACTTGGGATTGTGTGAGCACTTCCTTCTTCATCGATACGGCCAACAATGTTATCGATTACATCCAAACCATTAGCACTATCCTAAAGCCGGGCGGCATTTGGGTCAACATCGGTCCACTTCTTTGGCACAATTCNAAGTTTTTATTTTGAAAAACAACTTTTTTTTATTAGTCGGCAAACAATTTGAGAGAATAATTGTATTTTAAAAAATAAGTTAAATTTTATGTGAATTACAGTATTTGTGTAATAGAAGTGCGAAAAGACTAATAAAACTTTAAATGTAACGAAATTAATAGATCTTTGATTCAATTTATTTAATTGTAATTAAAGACATAATTATTAAACAATGGGTTTCTTGCAGACGAAGAATACGGAACGGTATTCATAGGCGAGCATTGAATGCGGATTTTGCGTGTAATATGAGCTGACATTCGTCTCCTCTTTGATGAATTCAAAACCAAACGATAGTATAATGTCTTTGATTATCTCAAAACTCGGTTCAATGGACTCGTTGTCTGAGAATTCTTGGGAATTGTGCCAAAGAAGTGGACCGATGTTGACCCAAATGCCGCCCGGCTTTAGGATAGTGCTAATGGTTTGGATGTAATCGATAACATTGTTGGCCGTATCGATGAAGAAGGAAGTGCTCACACAATCCCAAGTCGACGGTTCCGTATAGATCTCGATGAAGTTTCCGGCGGCCATTGAAAAGTCACAGTTTGCGGGCAAATCGCTGGGATTGGCGTCGGGAAAGCGCACGGCTGTCAACTGATCCGCCGAACGCATGTTATTAGTGAAGTGTTGAGCCCA